TTGATACAGCACTAAAATGTGTATCAAACTGGAAGTATGAAGTGTTTGATTTGAGCATGAGTCTCATTTGTTTGTTGACATTGGAAGAATGTGAATATAATATTTATAGTTCACTGTTGTAAGTTTGGCCAGGTTCTGAGCCATGTTGATAATAAAGAAAAGTGAAACGTGACTTAGACATTAATGTCATGAAACTGTATAAAGATATAGCTGATTATCTTGGTTAACCAATTATTGAATGCTATTGCTTTATTCAATACTTATAATTGGTTTAGATTTTTTCTACTGGGCTGTGGCTCACCCTTTATGGGAACATCATTTTCAGGTTCAGGTGATATGCTACCTCCAAGGACTTAGCTTGGAAGGAGTTGGAGTTGAAGACTCTGTTTAGTTTAGTTGTTATTTATTTTATTTGATATTACATGTAAACAATCAAGCCAAAGGCTTAATTCGTAGTTGAGTTAGTACTCACATTTTGTGTCCAAGTGTTGGCTTGGGAAGATGTAAGCCCGTAGGGCATTTACTTTTGATGTCAACATGTAATACTTTTGTATTGAACACTCTGATTAATGAAATTATGCTTTACTCTCTTATGCCTAAGCATGTCAAGATTGTATGATTTATGGGTTTATTTTGAGGGCGTTACAACTTGGTATCAGAGCGTACCGGGTTTGAATACTTTGGGTACGTGGGAAGTGATTAGTATCACAATGGGTTTGTCTCGCTTGTTAGAGACTTATGCATGATAGTATGTGTTTATGTGATAACATGATTATGTGAATATGTGGGTATGGAATGTAGTTTCTAGGATATTGGTTAGACCCTTGAGTTTCTGATAGTCTTGTTGGAAAGGCACTTGATCAATGCTGCTTCCAACCGGAACTATAGCAACGCCTCGGGACTGTCATTATCCAGGAATGAAATTCGTAGGTGCTTATGTGATTATGTGCTTATGTGGAGTGAATTACTATTTTCTATCATTTAGCAAGCTAGTGAAATAGCTTCGGCACCTTTGATAATGTCCTAATATCTTTGTTACCTTTACTAGGATACCTAGACGAGGAAGTTGTGATTTCCCTCCTTCCACTTGGGAAGAGTTGTGGAAATAGTTTGTGGAGTTACCCCAAGGTACTACACCTTTGGTACAGTTTGAAGCATGGTTTGCTAACCTGTCGAGGTTTGCCCCAGAGTTAGTGGAGACGGAGGAACTACGTTGTTCGGAGTTTGAGAGTAGACTTACACCTTCATGGTAGGTGACGTTACCGAATTTGCATACGTACTGAATGGTTGTCTCATTTGAGGGAGTGTTAGCCCTTGTTAAGATTGTGGTTGTTGGCATCGGGGAGTGGCGTGTTGTGAGCAACTGGTATTATATCCTGGGTAGTAGTATAATGGATATTCTCTTAAGTTTCAGGATTCTTTTGCTATGTTGTCGGTAGGGTTGGTTGGGTGTATAACCTGTGGTTAAGATGTGACCTGTGAGTAGAGTCACAGTGGTATGGTGTTTGCAGATGAAGGTTTGAGTTGATAGCGATGAGGGTGAGGACTCTTACTCTTCTGGAGAGTTAGGATGGTGCGTCTTTGAAAGCCTTGTCGGCGACATGCGATTGCGCCAGGGTTTGGTTCTAAGCAGTGGTTCAGTGGTAGTGGTGGCAAATGATTTGGCACGGAGGCTTAGTGTCTTGATTGTACTCTCAAGACGAGTGACAAGTAGGATGCGGAATAAAGAGTAGACTCTATAGGTCATTAAGGAATGAAGGTACTATATTTGCTTGTGTTCGGTACGAACAGTTATGTGGTAGTGATAAGTGTTGCGGCGTGGTAAACCCTTGTTAGCTAATTCGGTACGAGGGAATGAGTATGCAAATTTTATTATTATAAGTTTAGTCGAGGTGGCGAGTGAAATCCCTGAATGAGGGATTCAGTATGGGCGTAAGATAACTTGCAGTAAGTGAGGAGGTTTTTCCTAGTACGATGTGTGATAGTGCTTGGTTCGTATGTTGTTCATTACCCGTGTCTCGTTTTACGTCCTCGTTCTGTGAAAGTTGACCGGAGGCCTGGTGTACGAATGTTTTCGTGTTTCCTATGTTGAGGTATTAAGTACTAGATACTGGTCTGAGTATTGTCAGTAGTCGAGACGTGGTGGATGTCTCAGAACACTGTAGTGGTTGATTGTGTCATACTGTTATCTTTGTAATCGAGTCTTGCGAAGCAGGATTTTTCTATTAGTTAAGGTGTTGTGGAAACATAACGGGGTGGAGGAAGTCACTTGGGAACGTGAGTTGGATGTCCGTGAGAAGTATCTGGATTTGTTTGTTAATATTTAACCATGTATTGGGAATTTTGTTGTACTGATAAACTTTAAGAGAATTGAATATGTCTTAAGTCGAAAACATTAGGTATGTTTTGGTTATTGGAAGTATGGTAATGGTTGGTCATGCCTTGAAAGTAGAAGTTTAATTTAGCATTGTATATGTTAATTGTGTTATTGAAATGCAAATATATTATTGGCATTGAATATGTTATGGAATTGTGAACTATGTTATATGTTGTGAGTTGCCTCGTGAATAGAGATAGAATAACCGGTAATAGGTCAGGTTGATGAATATTGAATTGTAATATTGTTG